TTCAGCACTGTGTTGTGACATCAAGGTTCACAGGTGACCACTAGTGGCCAGTACCTTCCCAGTTTGGTTAAAATGTCTCTCACACTCTGCCTGTCTTTCACGGGTCTCACTCCTGCCACCCAGAACCCAAGGCAGATCCCAAAAGCAGCCCCAAGGGACGCTCTGCTTGGTCCAGGCTAAACTTAGGGTAGAGAGAAAGTGAGGAGCTAGTTGCTTTGGGCTGGCTTTCTGAGTTCTGCTGAGATGGGAGCGCCTAGAAAGAGGCAAAACAGATTCCTCCTGACTCTGACAATTTGCCATTGGGATTTGGGGATTGGGATTGTATGGCAAAGGTGTGCCCTCTCTTTCCATGGTTTGGTAGAAACGTTTATAAATACCTGAAAAACTCACCCTCCTACTATGGGCAATGGTAGAGGGCAAAGCAGTTTAGACTCTCGCCGGGTTGGTGAAATAAAAAAAAAACATGTTACAGGACCCACCCTCCCCTAGACGAACCCACACAACGGCCCTGAGGAATTTGGCCCTCCAGTGGGCCCCTTTTCTGGGACTAAACACTTTTGCTCCGAAAGATTACAAGGAGCCAGAAGAGGGGGTGTCAAATCTGCGACTGCCCAAGGCGCCCTGGTGGCTGAACCAGCCTGAGGCACCTACCCACAGACCCTGCTTCTCCCGAGGCACCTCCACATTAAGCGCCTACTTTATTTTTATTCTTAAATTAACAAGGCAAAGCGCCTATAGTTAAAAGGAGGGACTTCGGAGGTGGGCAAGTAGGGGGTTAAGACGAGGCCCAGGAAATTTACCACAGGGTGTTCTAGGGACTCCGCAGGAAGGAATCCGCAGGCTCCCAGTACCACCTCTCCAAGGACAGATATTTTTGGAAAACCAAGGAGGAAGGCAGATCGCTCTCCTCTTGGGAGTGTTGTCCTCCCTTGAGAGGGAGGCGCCTCCCACCCTCATTCCACTCCTCCTTTTCCATTTCCAGGCTCAGGCAGCCAGTTTATAGTCAATCTCTGGTCCTCACGCACACTGGAGGGGTGTGTGTGTGTGCGCGCGTGTGTGTGTGTGTGTGTGTGTGTGTGTGTCTGTGTGTGTGTGTCTGTGTGTGTGTGTGTGTAAGGGGGGGGTCTCAGGACCTGGTTGGTAGGGGGGAAATAGAGGCATATAGCTGGTCACACCTCCTCATCCAACACCTCCCCCATGACTCATCCTTCTCTTTCTTCAAATATAGGAGGGGGGAAATTTGCCCATTTTAGGGCTACCGTTTGAGTAACACGGGTTTGGAGAGAAACGTGTACGTGTAAAGGCGGTTAAGGAACGCGGTGCTGGGAGGTCTGGCCGTTGTAATCACACGAGCAAACAGTCCAAAGGCCACATTTATCCAGATATTTATTGCGCGTCTACAAAACACTCTGCTGCTTTGCCTCTTTCTCCCGCTGTGTTGCTATTGAGATCCAGCCCAGCGCCTGTCCCGAGACTCGGGCTTACCTGGCGCTCTCTTCCCAAAGGAAACTGTGGCTGGAAAAGCAAAGAACAAACATTTGCATGCCTCAGCGAAAAATGGAAATCAGGAAAGAGGGAGCGTCTGGGAGCCCCTTGCGCCAGAACCTCCGGTCCAGCCAGAATCTGAAGTTGTGTGAGATTACTTCAAGTGGACCCAGTCTGGTCACTGGAAGGCAGAAGGGGTGGGTGTCTTTTCTGTGGATCAATCATATCCGAGTTGAGATCTTACTGGGGATTGCATCGGTTACCACGCGCTGGTACGTCCTAGGATTCGGGACCCTGGTGAAAGTCTTTAGCCAAGGCCCCTTTAGATCTAAAGGTCCTTGCTAAGGACTTTGAAGTAGGGAGGTTTGGGGCTTTTAATTCTTCCCGTGGAAAGAGTGTGTGCGCCTTCACACCTTCCCGGGAGGCCAGCAGAGCTGGATCCTCTCTAGCTCTGACCCTGCAGTAGCCCTAAGCCCCTCTTTTCCTGTCCTCCTCCTACTCCTGTCCGGCGCTAGTACCAGGAGGGGGGGGGGGGGATGAGTGGGCCTCTACCGAGGAAATTGGATCCTGTACTGCTGGAGGGTCCCAGACTAGGACTTCCCCGACATTTCTGAAGATCTACTAGCACCTCTGTGTCAGTCATTTGCGAAGCACCTTTAGTCGTCATAAAGTCTTGGTCTCCAATCTTTTCATTCCTTCCGCCCAGGAGATGGCAGACCCCGGAGCATCCAGCTAGGGCAGAAGGCTCTTGTAGAGCAGCAAGCCTCGACTTCCCGATCTGTAATCTAAACATTAGTCTGGACCAGGTCGCTTTTCCCCTTTCCCAAGCCAGTGTTCCCAGGCTTGGGGACTGCAGGCCTTTCCAGAATCGGGTCGGGAAGGAGAGGCCTGGGCATCTGAAAAGGGTAACTCACAGTGGGCTGAGCCCCAGTGGGGAGTGGGGAGTGGGCTGTCCAGGCCCTGGAAGAAATTCGGGCTCAGTCACTCTTAAACTGAGGGTGTCTACCCACCAGACTTGGCCCGATCTTGGCACAACAGATAACTCTTGGCACCTGGAAAGTGAAGGGGGCCTTCTCCCTTCCTCTCACTCTCCAAGTTATGAGCTACAGAAATACGCTGGTATCTGCGGGTCTTTCCCCACCCCCATTCCCTGAAGACACGCACTTCCCAGGTTCCTGCACACAGTTAAATCCGCACAGAAGAGAATAGGAACTCCTGTAGAGATAAGTCCCGTCCTGGAAACAGTACTGACTGCGGGGAACACACCACTGCCACCTCCCCCACCCGGGCCCCCTGCCCCTCCACCACAGCGAGAAAGTTTTCCAGCCGCTTCTCAAAGTTCCAGACAGTTTCTGGGCTTTTGGCGCCCCCTCTGGATGTTGCTGAAAATTGCAGTGCAATTTTAATTTCGACTGTTTCAAAACCGTTTCCGAAAAGATTCAAGAATATAAAAACGCTTCGTGCCGCTTGCGTGAAAGAGTAGAAACATGTAAGAAGCCTCGTTAAAATATGGTAGCACATCTCGCCATGTGTTGTATTAAAGATATATTTATAAATGTATGTGTTCATGAACAAATGTTTAATAAAATATTTCAAAATGCCTTAAGGCCACAGTCGTTTTCATTGCTTTTGTGCCAGAAAACGTGATAATTGCAACAAATTACAACTCGCTAGTTTAATACATCTGCCAGTGGGCCCTGATCTCTTCAGCCGGGTGTCTGGGGGGTCACATAAATACGTCCTTCCTAGGACCCAGAAATATGTCCACACTAGCAAAACTTGACCCCCCACTCTGAAAATGATTTTTTTCCCTACGGATTGCGAGAATAATGAGAGGTGTGAATACGTGGCTATTGTTTGCTCGTCTCTTAAACTCTAGGCAGACTATAGGGTACTAGAGATTTGGAATTCGAGTAACATTCGTTTACAAAACAATCGACTGAACGGGTTGTGGCTTACTACCTCCTCACGGGTTCCTTTTCCCATATAACAAATGCCCACTTCGGGAGAAAACGAGGGGAGAAACTAGCTTTTCAAAACTATTCCGAAGAAAAGATTCGTTTACATCTAAGTGTCCACACTTGGCAAATTAGAGGGGGGGGGGGACCTTTGTATGCTACAGGGCGATTCACTTTATCAATAATTTAATAAGTTCAAAGAGAATCTTTGCAAGAAACAGAAAAGGGCTTTTTGTTTTTAAATCAAGTTGCTGTTGTTTTTCTTTTTTCCACCGCTGTAAGTTTGTTTGTGGTTCCGAGAGCATGTCACCCGGTAGCAACTGATTTTTATTCGTTCCAAAAAAGATAATTCCTTCCTTACCCAACCTTGTTCTAAGAGTTCTCAGTGACACAGCTCTGGCTCCAAGAACTCTTAAAGTGCAACGGACACCTACGTGGCCTCCCCCAGAACGCCCACCTGTGCTCAGGTCTAAAAGGACGTGACTAAAGCCCCGACGCCTAGAGCTTAGCCTTCCCAGGTAAAGGAAGGCCCAAGCGAGAGTGCGGCAGGGCTCCTCCAAAGGGCCCGTTTTGTCTGAAGTTTTCCAGTCTACACGGGCCTTGCCGCCCTGAGCTGCCACCTTTGGAAACTTCATCCTCCACGCAGGAGCAGTTTTGCAAGCTCCCGTGGTGACCCTGCTGACGTTTCTGACTCAGGCAAGAAGCAGAATTCTAAAGTAACAACCCTAACACCGAGGGGCGTCCGAGTGCTGGAGGGGTCCGGAAAGGACTTGTCAGTTCAAGGTCGGTTTGGCCCACGGGACCCGCCAAGAGAATCGGGGACTGCCCGGTCGCCGCCAGCCTTCGTTGGCGCTCAGCTTTGGTTTTCATTGATTCCCTCTGCAAGAGTGCTGCAGAATCTCCAGCCACCACACCAGCCTTGGAGAACCAGACCGCGTTAATCTATTTATATGGATTATTACAGAAGAACAGCGGGCGTTGAGTCACCCAAACATTTGCTTCCAAAAGACCATTTCTAAGCACTTTTGGAAGCCGGCAGGCTCCGGGAGCAGAAGCCCAGATCCGCATTGAGGCGCGGCTGTAGCAATTTCCAGTGCTGTAAATGCCAGCGAAGCCCGGGGTACCGCGGAGACAGTTTCGAAAAGTAGTGGGATGTACGCGTGTGGTGGTGGTGGGGGGGGTCCTAGTCTAGACACGCGCGCGCGCGTGCACGCACACACACACACACACACACCGCTTCACACTGAGATTCCAAAACTGTGACATTCCTAGAGTAGAGAGCAAACTTACACACTCGGACGTCCCGGGTCCCCCGCCTGCACCGCGGCGTCCCCCCCCCCTCCAAGTCCCCTCACCCCACCATCCACCCTCCAGCAGCACTCCCCTCCCTTCTCCTCCCCTCGTGTCTCGTCACCCAACCCGGAGCCATAATCCTCCTCCCCCTCCCCTCTCCAAAATCCGGTCCAATCAGCGACTTGCCAACCCTGATGACTGCTAAGCCGTGATTGGCCAGAGGTCTCTAAGGTGAAGGGGGAGTATTTATTAAAGAGACCCCGGGCTGGGAGCTGGAGAGCCGACTGCGCTGCTCGGAACTGCCTGGAAACTTCAGTGGGGCAACAACTTTACCAGTTCTCAGTCCAGGAACTTTTCTTTGCAAGAAAGAGGGGTGCAAGTGGCCCCGATTTCGTTCTCTGTTTTCCCTTCCATCTCCGCTTCGATTCGCCTTCCCGGGGTTTGGAGCGGGCAGCTGAGTACCCGCCACCCAGCGCCTCTGCTAAGTACTCACCGCCGCAGCCCGGTGACGCGCCAATCTCCCCGGGAGCCGCTCGCTCGGCGTCCGCGTCTGGGCAGCCGAGGGAAGAGGAGCCCCAGCCGCTGCGGCTTCTCGCCTTTCCCAGCCACCCGCCCCCTGCCCCGGGCTCGCGTATGAATCTCCTGGACCCCTTCATGAAGATGACCGACGAGCAGGAGAAGGGCCTGTCCGGCGCCCCCAGCCCCACCATGTCCGACGACTCGGCTGGCTCGCCCTGCCCCTCAGGCTCAGGCTCCGACACGGAGAACACGCGGCCCCAGGAGAACACGTTCCCCAAGGGCGAGCCGGATCTGAAGAAGGAGAGCGAAGAAGACAAGTTTCCCGTGTGCATCCGCGAAGCGGTCAGCCAGGTGCTGAAGGGCTACGACTGGACGCTGGTGCCCATGCCGGTGCGCGTCAACGGCTCCAGCAAGAACAAACCACATGTCAAGCGGCCCATGAACGCCTTCATGGTGTGGGCGCAGGCTGCGCGCAGGAAGCTGGCGGACCAGTACCCGCATCTGCACAACGCCGAGCTCAGCAAGACTCTGGGCAAACTCTGGAGGTGAGCGCGCGGGACCGCAGGGTGGGCTCGGTGGCTATCGGGACACGGGCTGCACTCACCGACCGCGGTCCGCCTCCCTGAGCCAAGGAGTTGCAGCCTGGGATCTGAGGGGCCGGGATGCGAGATGGGAAGCGGCTAGGGGAGGTTGGCTCAGAGTTTGAGAAAGTTCTTGGGTTAGCTCTTGGCGACGGGGGGGGGGGGGGGGGGGGGGGGGGGGGGGGGGGGGGGGGGGGGGGGGGGGGGGGGGGGGGGGGGGGGGGGGGGGGGGGAAGCGGTGTTGTGTAGCACGTGATTGCTTTTAGAAGCGGTGGGGGAGTGAGGGATGTGCCAACTCGGTCCCCTCGAAAGGAACAATTAGGGGAAGCAATCGCCCCACCACCACTCCCCCCCCCCCAAGTTGCGCTCTTTCCTGGGAAGAAGGGATGAAGGGAAAGCTGGGATGGAAGTGACCCAGGCAAGAAGTAGGGAAAGCTACTGAGAACCGGTAGGGGCGTGGACCGACAGAGAGCTTCTTGCAATTTAAGTGGGTTTTCGGAAAGTTTTTACAGGGTGTTGGGCGGGGGGGGGGGGAGGACCGCTCCGGTAGCAAAGGCGTTTAGAGCAGCCTCAGCAGGGAGCTATTTTCATCTTCAGGGTTTCCAAAATAGGAGGCCGGGGAGGGGGCGGGGCGAAGAGTGACCGTTCAGGTCGATTCCGAGCACTTAGAAGAAAGAAAGAAAAGTTCTGAGTCTCAGTGGAGGATGGCAAGCCGAATGGAGGGAGGAGGGGTAGTGCCCGAAGGAGGGGTGGGGACATGACAGCTCCTGGGGTTTCACTGACCCCCCCCCCTTTTCTTCTGCCCCTCTTCCCAGACTGCTGAACGAAAGCGAGAAGAGACCCTTCGTGGAGGAGGCGGAGCGGCTGCGCGTGCAGCACAAGAAAGACCACCCCGATTACAAGTACCAGCCACGGCGGAGGAAGTCCGTGAAGAACGGGCAGGCAGAAGCCGAGGAGGCTACGGAACAGACGCACATCTCTCCCAACGCCATCTTCAAGGCGCTCCAAGCCGACTCCCCGCACTCCTCCTCCAGCATGAGCGAGGTGCACTCCCCGGGAGAGCACTCCGGTGAGTAAAGCAAAAGTGACCCACTAGACTTAGCCACTCTGGGCCCCCCGGGCACACCCTAAAGCGCGCTCCCCCCGCCCCCGAGAATCTGGGTGGGAACTTCGCGCTCCATGGAGTAGGGAATTCCCTGCACTCCCTCCCTGTCCAGCACCCACCGAAATGGGCAGGCGCGCTGGACACACACACACCTCGCGAAACTTGCCCAATTTTGTGCTTTGCGCCTCACCCCCAAAGCACACATCCTTCTACAGGTAGCAATTTAGTCTTCCGGACCCTTGGGACCTCAGACCCCTCCCCTGATAAAAGGAGCTTGCCTAGTGTGTACCTGCGGGTTAATCATTCGGCGACTTATCGCTGGTGCAGCGCGCCTCCTGCGCGGGCTCGGGTCCTAATGACACCTTAGCAACCAGGGAGGTTCCCCAGGGGGCTCCTAAGACCAGGGGCTTTGCACAGCCTTTGTTGATTTTTTTACGGTTTGTCTTTCTCTTTTATTGCCTGCAGGGCAATCTCAGGGTCCGCCGACCCCACCCACCACTCCCAAAACCGACGTGCAAACTGGCAAAGTTGACCTGAAGCGAGAGGGGCGCCCTCTGGCAGAGGGGGGCAGACAGCCCCCCATCGACTTCCGCGACGTGGACATCGGGGAGCTGAGCAGCGACGTCATCTCCAACATCGAGACCTTTGACGTCACTGAGTTTGACCAATACTTGCCGCCCAATGGCCACCCAGGGGTGCCGGCTACACACGGTCAGGTCACCTACACCGGCAGCTACGGCATCAGCAGCACTGCTGCCTCCCCTGCCACCGCGGGCCACGCGTGGATGTCAAAGCAGCAGGCGCCACCCCCTCCGCCGCCGCAGCCCCCGCAGGCCCCGCAAGCCCCGCAGGCGCCTCCGCAGCAGCAAGCGCCCCAGCAGCAGCAGCAGCAGGCACCCCCGCAGCAGCAGGCACACACGCTCACTACACTGAGCAGCGAGCCGGGTCAGTCCCAGAGAACACACATCAAGACCGAGCAACTGAGCCCCAGCCACTACAGCGAGCAGCAGCAGCACTCCCCGCAGCAGATCGCCTACAGCCCCTTCAACCTTCCACACTACAGCCCCTCCTACCCGCCCATCACGCGCTCGCAGTACGACTACACAGACCACCAGAACTCCGGCTCTTACTACAGCCACGCAGCGGGCCAGGGCTCGGGGCTCTACTCTACGTTCACCTACATGAACCCCGCGCAGCGCCCCATGTACACCCCCATCGCTGACACCTCCGGAGTCCCTTCTATCCCGCAGACCCACAGCCCGCAGCATTGGGAACAACCGGTCTACACACAGCTCACCAGACCCTGAGGAGCCCTTGAAGAGGGATGGCGATAGAGCTGATCGTTAAAAGAAAGAAAAGAAAGAAAAAAAGAAAGAAAGAAAGAAAAAAGAAAGAAAGAACCGAAGAAATCAAGAACCAGTTGAAATTCCTTTGGACACTTTTTTTTTTTTTGTCGTTGTCCCTATTTCTTAAAGACATGTAAGCGAAGGTAACTAGTGCTGAGATTCCAGGAGAGAGACTTTAAGACATTATCCGAGCACATGCCAACCTAAGACAAATGGCTGGGCCACTCGTGGCCAGATGGACCCACCTGAATCATCAAGGAAGGATTTGGTTCCTTCAGAGTCAGCTTGGAGGACGATTGGAGAATCTCCCTGCCTGTTTGGACTCTGTAATTATTTTTTAGCCGTAATTAAAGAAAAAAAAGTCCTCTGTGAGGAATATTCTCTATTTTAAATACTTTTAGTATGTACTGTGTATGATTCATTACCATTTTGAGGGGATTTATACCTATTTTAGATAAAAAATTAAATGCTCTTATTTTTCCAACAGCTTAACTACTTGTAGTTCAACAGTGTCCCCTAGCCTTCCTTGCAACCAGAATATTTGTGTACAGATATGCTTTCTCCTTAAACTAAAAAAAAAAGAAAAAAAAAAGAAAAAAGAAAAAGAAAAAAGGCATTGTTATAATAACATTAAAAATAAACACAGAGTTTTGTTACATCATCAGTTTTGGGGGTGAGCTTTGGTTAATTCTCCAGGCTCTCGGATTTCAGGAGCAGCTGCCTTAAAAAATGAAAGAAAGAAAACCTTATTTTGCAATAAGGGGAATAAACATAGAGAACATTGGTGAGCTTTATCATATAGATATATATTTTTTAAATGAGAAGAACACCTTGAGCCTTAAACCCCCGCTGCTGGGAAAATGCAAACGCTGTTCCTAGAACATTCACCGTGCCTGCCTTTGCTTGCTGGCTGCAGCCTCAGAAGGAAAGCCAACGACAAGCCAAGGAGACCATATTTTCTTGGGGAAGATTTTTTTAAGCAGCCTGTAAGTGCCCAAGCACATTGCCCCCTGGTTCCTGCCTGGGCCCCATGTGCACAGCAGATGCTGGAGTAGGCCTGCTCAGACTGTGACTGTCACCTGTGCCTCCCTGAATACCAGCGTTTAACCTCCAAGACATTCCACGTGCTAAAATTATTTATTTTGTCAGGAGGAGTTTTCATTTTTTTTTAAGAAAAAAAATCTCCTTCCTTTTTTTTCTTTTTTAATTTACTGTCTTTAAGGTAGATTGTTGGCGCCTTCCTCAAAGGGCATCGTCATCTGTTAAATTATGTTCTTAACTGTAACCATTTTTTTAATTTATCTTTAATCTTTTTATTATTAAAAGCAAGTCTCTTTGAAGTCTTCATTCTAGATTTGTACAAATGCTTTCTTTTCGTCCGTCCTTGTGGTTTTTACACCCCCCCCTTTGTTGTTTTTGTTGTTGATAACAAGGTGGAAACCTATTTCTTTCTGTGATGTACACACGAGAAGGTACAAATGCCGTCGCTCATCACTTTGTCGTTTGCAGTGTTTTCTGCCACGGGCCTTTGGGCTGCCTGGACTGACTGTGGAAGTGTCCACGTGTTGTCAACGCAAGCCCCTGCCAGCCTGTGTCGTGGCTAGCCCCCTGCCTGCTCTCCTGCACAGAGACATCCATGGGATGGACAGACCTTAGTTCTTACTCACTGCTGTGGCTGGAGAAGATGAGGGTTGCTTTTCAAATTTCAACAACAGCAGACTTTTTTTTTAATTTAAAAAAAAGATATATTAACAGTCTTAGAAGCCAGTAGAGTAAAACCTTAAAGCATTCTTATAATATGGCATCCTTCGATTTCTGTATAAAAACAGACCTTTTAAAAAATATTTCTGTAACTTAAAACCTGACGTGTAAGTCCTATTTTTCTCTTTAGGTAAGGTTTGGTTTGTGTTTGTGTTTTGTTTGTTTCCCCCTCCAAACTTTTTGTTCTCTGTGGAACTCACCTTTCTTTCCTTCCTTTCTTTTTTTGTATATTATTGTTTACAATAAATATACATTGCATTAAAGTGAAAACAGCCCTGTGGATTTATTTCCTACGTTCTCCAGTTAAAGGCTGACTTGAGGAGTCCGGGTACTAAAGAGATTGTAAGAGGGTGATGATCTTAGTGGTGGTTTCGATTTGATTTGATGGCTTCCCTTGCCAGTTTTAAACTGCACAGTGAAAGACTGAGTCTCCCACACCCCCAAACCTGAACACAAAGCCTCTTGGAAAGGGTCACCCCAACAAGCCACACAGAAAATGTCATGTCAGTGTTGCCGGCTCTGGCAAAATGTGTGTTGTGGTTTTCAAACCCCTCTGCTTCAGGGCAGACGCTGTTCTCCTATGGAGGTCAGAGGGGAGAGGGAACATTAGGCCGGACATCAGCCGCCTGTCAGGAGACCAAATGCCAGAGGGAGTGGCTCTTTTATCTGAATGCCATATGGCAAACTCTGTGTTATTATGGACACATACCAAAGAAATGGGGTGTCCACTTGCCAGGCGGTGAAGCCAGAGGGAAAGAAGGTTGGCCTACCTAAAGGAGACGAGGGGGAGACAGGGGAAAGCCTGCCCAATTAACCCCTGAAACCATTTCCGCCTCTCCTGATTACTCTGCAGAGACAACGAAGAGAGATTGCCGCCCACCCCCCTCCGGTTTAACTCATCACAGAGAGATGCAGAGGAGCCATCCTAGGAGAAATATGGCCTAATCCTGTTTTCTTTGGCCCCAATTCGATGGGGAGTTTCCAGGTTCAGAGCGACATTCAGGTCATTTTTCATTAAACAGATGAAGTCACTCCTCCCTCCCTCCCACCTCCTCCAGGCACCTCCCCCCAGCTGATGGGGCCCTGAGTCTAAGAAGGTAAAGTCACCTCCACCATTCCAGGCAGAGTGCAGGGCCTGGGCTCTGCTGCTTTCCCGGCTAAGCTCCCACACCAGGATCAGGGCCACCAGGACAAAGATAGTTATCCAACAAAGGTAACATTAGTTTGAGGTCTCCTTTGCAAATTCCCTCCCACAAACCTTGACTGAGGGCCTGGGATCTGTGGGGGACTCCGGAGAGCTCTCTCTGCACCTCCAGACATCAGGTTCTTGTCCTTAGGAGTGAGATAGTCCCGGAGTTTGTCCACCACCACCCTGACAAAAGTCTCTTCTCCCCACTCCTGCTAGTTCTCACAAAGCCCTGTTTGAAACAGTCCGTGGCAGCCACTAAGTCTTATCCACCTTACTCCTCCTAATCTCCACACACCGACTCTCCCACAGGCCCAGGCTAAAGCCGGCTGCCTTTTCCTTATTGTGCCCAGTCGGGCCTTCTGAGAGTCAGGCTGTTCTGTTGTGACATACATGTATCAGGGTGACTCAGGGCAATTTAACCACCTGATGCCTCAGCTTCCCCCTTTTCTGAGAATGTTTACAGCTGCACTTTACCTTCGACAAGATTATTTTGGAGAAATTTTCAGTCAACACTACTCCAGATACAGACTGAGGCTGACTGTTGGTCTGAAAAACAGCCCTTCTGTCCTAGGATTTTGTAAAGCAAGATTCATAAAGGGCTCCTTAGTGGCCTCCAATATGGAATAAATACCCAGGATACAGCAGAGGGTCCCAAGGATATTCTTCAGAATCCGCCTCGCGGCCGCCCACCCACATACTCACTAGATCTAGCCAAAGCCCAATGTCACCAGATTATGAAATGTTTTAGAGAAAGTTTTATGGTCAATCCAAAAACATGGGGCTTATCACCCTGGCAACATGAACACTGGCTGGGGACCTAGGAGAGCCCGCAGCAACGGCAATATCACAGTATCAAAATCAGCAACAACAAAAGGTTTGCATTTACACCCATGGGTACTTGTTTATTTGTGTTCAACTTCAGCTTTTCTAGCTTAACAAAAAAAAAGGATTTTTTTTTTCAACAAAAAGGAATAAAACAAGCAATTTAGAATCAGCGTCTTTGTGGTTCCTTATTAATCTTGAACCACATGGAGGAATCTGAGCTGGGTTTTGACTTTCTCACTCCCGATACTCTCATCCTTTCCTACATCCTCATCCTTCTGAGGCATTTTCTTTTTCTTACATTGAATTGATAGGTGAACTGCCACTATAACCAGAGACAGGTTTACTATGGAGAAGATGAAACAGGGGTTCATTGGCCTGGAACTCTGCCAGTAGGTTAGGCTAACTAACAAGTGAGCTCTAGGGAGCTTCCTACCTCTGCCTGCCCAGCACTGAGATTCAGGCCTGAGCTATCACAGAAGACATTCTCAGGACCTCATCTTGTGCAGCAGATCCTTTACCAACTGAGCCATCTCTGCAGCCTTTTACGCTATTTTATTGCAAGAGCCATTCTCTAAAGGCAGGAGGGTGAAGCTGGACCTGCCCTCCACCATCAACTGACCAATAAACCCCGCCATCAGATACTGGAAACGTGACCCTTCTGTCTGTTCTCAGTAATGCCTGGCATTCAGTAGGTCCTTAATTAAAGCCAACCTCTCATTACATCCAGGAACATGAGGGCACGAACATAGACTACACCCACGTGACTCCAACGGCTCGCCTTGGTCGTCAACTTGACATATGTCAAAGAGGAAACTTCAGCTGAAGGACTGCCCCCATCATATTGGGCTGCAGCATGTCTGTGGGGCCTTTTCTTGAGTGCTGACTGATGCCAAAGGGCCCAGCCCACTGCGGGTAGCACTGTTCCAAAGCAGGAGGACACGGGCTGTATTAGAAAGACAGCTAGGCATGCACCCTGAAGCAAGCGAGTAAGTAACATTCCTACTTCGCGCTCTCCTGCCCTGACATCCCACAACGATGAATGGTAGCCTGTAGGGTGAAACAAACCGTCTTCTTCCCAAGCTACTTACGGTCACACACAGAACAGAAACTAAACAAGAATGGATGGCATTTTAGCACAGGATGCATCTGTTCAGAGATGCATATGGTTTCCCTCCTCCAGTAATGATGTGGGGAGGTCATTTGTCAATCTGTTGTTTCATTGGTTAATCAATAAAGAAAACTGCTTGGCCTGATAGGTCAGAAAATGAGGTAGGTGGAGTAGACAGAACAGAATGCTTGGAAGAAGGGAAGTTAGGCAGACGCCATGCCTCTCCTCTCCAGGTCAGATGCAATGAAGCTCCAGCCCAAGATGGACGTACACTAGAATCTTCCTGGTAAGCCACCACCTCATGGTGCTACACAGATTATTAGATATGGGTTAAAGCAAGATATGAGAGTTAGCCAGTAAGAGACTAGAGCTAATGGGACAAGCAGTGTTTAAAAGAATACAGTTTCCATGTAATTATTTTCGGTAAAGCTAGCCGATGGCTGGGAGCTGGGTGGCAGGAAGCAGTCTGCAGCTCCTTCTACACAGTAATATCACCCGTAAGCATCCCAGAGCTTAAATTAAGGAAAGTCAAGAAGAAATGTGACCTCGATCACATTTTCACACTGTGCTCTTCTTGCCACTTTCGTCTTCTCCTTCCTACATCTCCTGTCTTCTGGATTTTTCCGGGGTTCCTGTGAACTCTCACAGCTAAAACATTTGTGGAACTCTGGCTGGAGTCTTACTCCACCATGGGTAACAACTGCTTTAGTCTGGATTTCTGGAGAGTCACTCTTGTTTTAAGTTTATTTATTTTATGTGTATGAATGTCTTCCCGGCAAATGTCTATGCACAACCTGCATGCATAATGCCTATGAAAGCCAGAAGGGGCCGGGCGGTGGTGGCACACGCCTTTAATCCCAGCACTCGGGAGGCAGAAGCAGGCAGATCTCTGTGAGTTCGAGGCCAGCCTGGACTACAAGAGCTAGTTCCAGGACAGGAACCAAAAGCTACGGAGAAACCCTGTCTCGAAAATCAAAAAAAAAAAAGCCAGAAGGGGGTGTTGGATCCCCAGAAATGGAAGGTACAGATAGTTGTGAGCTGTCGGGTGAGTGCTAAGAATCTAACCCAAGTCCTTTGAAAGAGCAGCCACAGGTCTTAAACATGGAGACCTGGCACTTTTTTTTTTCTTAAGAACAAATAAAACATGGTGAGACACTCTCAAATTTGCATGAACTCTAAACAGCCAGACACGTTTGTGGGATAAGTATTCAGAGATGACTCCACTGTTAGACACATCTTCTGGATTTCTCAGGATTTTAACTGTCCTTAATCCAATTATCTCACGCTGACACTCTCTCTCTTAGGAATAGTTAAGCACAGATTCATCACAGCTCCATAAGATACAACAGGAACAAGAGGCCAAGAGGTCCCATTACATCCACAGTCAGGAAATAGAAATGGAAAAGTTATTTCTTTAAGATACAACTGTACTAACTCTTAGGGTAGCCAATCACCTCATTAGGCTACAGTCCATAATTTCTTACATAGTGTTAGTGTGCAATTATGTGTGTGTTTATTTGGGTGTGTGTGTGTGTGTGTACATGTGTAAAGAGACCAAGGGTTGACATCAGTGCTTTCCTGAACCTAATTCAAACATTAGGCCAGGCTGATGGGCAGTGAATTCTAGGGAGCTGTTTGTCTATGTACTCCCAACACTGAAGATATAGACACATATCTGGCCCTTATAGGGGAGTGGGGTAAGCATCTAAACTCGGGTTCTCATGCTTGAATGGCAAGCACTTTACTTACTAGTCACCTCCTTATCCCAGGGATTGATTCATTGAACCCAATCACCAAGATGGCATTTATTCCTGTATTGACAATGGGATGGCACATATGGTATCAGTAGAAATATGTTGAAGGAGTGGCAGGGCTGCGTCCCCGGCACCCGGCCGCCCGCATGGCTAGTTTATGCCTGAAATAATTACACGGAAACTGTATTCTTTTAAACACTGCCTGGCCCGTTATCTGTAGCCTCTTACTGGCTAGCTCTTACATATTGTTCTAACCCATTTCTAATATTCTGTGTAGCCCACGAGGTGGCTTATCAGGGAGGATCTTAACCTGCATCTGTCTGGAGTGGGAGAATCATGGCAACTCTTCGACTAAGCTTCTTTCTCCCAACATTCTCTTCTGTTTACTCCACCC